GATCTCAAGCCGCCACCAACACTGCCGCCGACACCGTCTTCACCGGCGCCACAGGTATTACTTCTCACCGTCATCTTGTTTAAAATACTTGTTTAAGATATGATCTCTAAAAATCTTACTAAACCCTAACCTCAGACCGACCGTCAACGAGCTCTCCGTCGCTGCTGCTTCCGTCGTCGCTGCACCCATGTTACCACTGCCGGATGTCCCCACCCCTGTTTAATTACTAGCTATGTTATATTATAAACGTAATGAACTTTCATTTAGTGGGGGTAATTAATAAAGTAGTAATGATTTTCCCAATAAAAAACATTATACTCAACTGGTAGCTCGATCTGAATCGGCCGGTTGCTCGTCTGACTGGGTGCAACTTGGTTTAACCTTGGTCCGGGTACATACGCACGAACACGGCATTAGATGACGCACAACTTTTATACTTGGATCTAGAGTTCATCCGGACTGACCGAGAAAAGGCCGAACTAAAGTTCTCTACTCAACCGGCTATCTAACTCGGTTTAAGCCGAAACTCAAACTCTAAGTTCAACATGATTTCTAGTGATTTTAGGCTCAACAACTGCAGTTAAATCTTAACCGGATAATATCTAATATTTTTCAACAAAAGCAGCTAAAGTCCCGAATTTTTAGACATATTAAGGGGGTGATTGTTTATGGTTTGAATAGTAAAAAAACTAGAATTTTTTAATTATGGTTAAGTTTAAGAAAAAATTGTATGGTTAGTTGTTAGTGGATATATTAAAATAGTATTTAAAATAAAATAGTTAAAGTTGATTTGATGTAAAGTAGGAGAAAAATGATTGGAAGTGATAGTTAGTTAAAATTAGTTAGAATTATGTGAGTGGATGAATAGTGAATTAAAGTTGATGTGATATGTAATAATGATTTGTTGATGTTATTTAATTATATAATAATATTGGAGATAGTGGGGTTGAGTTAAAGTTGAGTTAAATTTGAATTTGAGTAAAAAAAATTACTGTAGGGATGATAAACAATCATGCCCTAAACAGTCTCAAAAAATTATGAAATTTTAACCACATCATATGCAGCATTTATAAGATTTACCATAAAATTTTCACCACATTTCGAGGTCTTTAGCTTATTTATCGAAAATTGGGCATTTTGACTACATATTCAAAAATCCGGTTAACATAGTAAACGGGCACTAAAAATCACAAAATTAAAACTTAAGTCTCAAGTCAGCTATACGGAATTTATCAAGTTAGTTTCGCATTTTTCTGGGCAGTAAGCAATATATTCCGAATTTAATACTTTTTAGACCGATAAATTCACAATAAATCACACAATGCTCGAAATCACATCCCGTTATTTTTAAAATTAATCTAAATTGTTGCTTAAGGCATGGAGAAAGAGTTTCAGCTGATATACCTCCTGAGGTGTTCGAATCAAAAATCAGAAAACGGGAAGAAGCTAGGGAAACATATCGGCTATGGATCGGGTCGGATCTCACTTGGTTTAGCTCAGATCTAAGGTGTGGACCTCGTTTTGAAGTGTGCTGGGCTCGGATCCGAGGTTGGTTCGGTCGTACGGCCCGTGGGTGGTCTGAAACGTGCGGTTCGGAGGTGCTCGGAGGTCCTGGCGCGAGCTAGGGCCGAGTGGTTCGGATCTCGCTCGTGGAGGAAGATGGCCGTGAGCTCGTGACGTGAAAGCGGCGAGGGCTTGCTGTGGAGGACCCGCCGACGTGAAGGGTAGCTGGTGGCGTGCTCGCCGGAGATGGCTGGTGCGAGCTTGACGTAGACGGAACTGGGAAGGAGACGACGGCTCTGCAGCTGGGGTCGCGGTGGCTCGCTGAGGTCGCACAGCTCGGGCTTGAAGCTGGTCGTCTGAGCAGGGAACGTGGTCGCCGATGGAAGCTTGCTGTGGTGGCTTGGTCGCCGGAAAACGGAGCTGAGGAACGCGCAGGTGGAGCTGGGGTGGTGCAGCGACGGAATGGAGCTTGGGCTCGTGAGTGACGCGCGGTTGGAGCTGGAAATGGCTTGAGGGTCGCGGCTTAGGCTCGTCGGCGCGAGTTTGTCGCCGGAGCTCGGGGTTCGCCGGAAAATCACTAGGGGTGGCCGGATCTTTAAGCTCAAGCCATGGATGGTGGTGAAGGATGAAGCTTGAAGAAGGAGGGTTTGCGCTTTAGAAGATAAAGGTTTTTTTTGTGGTGGAAAATGAGCTAAGAGGATAATGATGATTTTCTATTTACAGATGGACTAGGGAGCTAGGATTTTGACTCTTCTTGGACTTTAAAAATCGGGTCTAATCGACATGAGCTCGGTTATTATCGACTTAGTCTCGATATATTTAGAAAGACTAATTGGGTCTAGATAAAATATATTCAGCTAGGATTTTAAAATGTCTCGATTAAATAATTGGGTCCGGTAAATGAATAATTGGGCTCGCTCGAGAATTACATAAATTCCCGATTTTTTCTAATACTCGGTAAAAATAATTTATCGATACTTAAACTTAGGATTTTTATCTCGTTTCCGAAATAATAATTCGAACGTTCTCTCCATGACTTAGACTTATAATTTAATAAATTATGCGATTAATACTAATAATCTCGGCATAATTAATATATTACTATTTTTGAAAAATAAAGTCGAGCAAAATATATAATTCTAGGTCGGGACTTACAATGTATCCTCCTTAAAACATTCCCGTCCCCGGAAATGACAAAACTAAAACCTAAGTCCATCCCGACTATACACTAGAAACTGAAAATACAAGGTACAAAAGTACTAACCAGAACTAAAAATTTGGATATCGAGCTTTGAATTTGGTTTTCTTCTTACTAGTGATCTTGGCTTTGCAATTGCAACTCCGGCTTCAAGCCTCCAGATAAATCCGGACTAATGACTTTTATTTCAAGCCTTCATAATTTACCTGGCTTTTGACTATTATACACCGTTAACCCAAGTTCGAGAATTGAGAGTCTCTATCTGGATACTATATAGGTCTGCTCCGGTTATCAATCGGTCTCACTGGTATTGGTTCGCCAATGGTGTAAGCTTTGCACAAATACTTGGGTGTGGTGTGTCAGGGCCTTTTGTGAAATACACCTCCCTTAAAAGCGCCTGAGGTAAGAAGGTAAGATATATTTTTTTAAATGAGACATGTGTCTCATTTCTATTGGGCAATAAAATTCATATATCATGTTTTATAAATTAAATTATTATTCATATTTTGTATCAAAATATAAAAATAAAAATACCAAAATTCATAATTTTTCATTCTCTACAAATAGAGACCACATTTGATATTTTTTGGAACACAATTAATTTATCATTTTTTACAATTAATTTATCTTATTGGAAGTTATGACGTAAATCTATAATTAGATGAATATGTTACACACTAAGATGAACATGTTATAGAGTAAGATGGACATGCCATAGAATAAGATGAAAATGTTAAATTTTCACAGATGAAATTTAGATGAACATGTTCTAAAATAAGATGAACGTGTTACATAATAAAATGAACATGTTATATAATAAGATGAACATGTTACATAATAAAATGAACATGTTATATAATAAGATGAACATGTTACATAATAAAATGAACATGTTATAGAATAAGATGAACATGTTACCTAATAAAATGAACATGTTATAGAATAAGATGAACATGTTACATACACAATAAGGTGAACATATTACGTAATAAAATGAACATGTTATAGAAAATAAGATGAACATGTTATAGAATAAGATGAACATGTTACATACACAATAAGATGAACATGTTACGTAATAAAATGAACATGTTATAAAATAAGATGAACATGTTACATAATAAAATGAACATGTTATAGAATAAGATGAACATGTTACATACACAATAAGGTGAACATGTTATAAAATAAGATGAATATGTATTTTTTCAATCTGCAATCTGTAACATGTTCATCATATTTGAAAACATATTCATTTTATTATGTAACATGTTCATTATATGTCAGTATAATAAAATCATTTAAAAAAAAACGAAAAATTAATTTTGTTCAAAAACATATCAAATGTGGTCTCAATTTATAGATAATGAAAAATCATGGATTTTGGTATTTTTATTTTATTTTTTTAATATAAATAATTAATGATATTTTAATTTATGTAATATGTCTCATTTTTTAATTAAAAAATAAAAAATAAGCATGTGCACTACACTCTCCAAATTTCCTTGTTTTTGGGGTGAGGGAGGCGCGTGCGAAAATGCCCTGGCACACCTAGCTAGGTGTGTCAGGGCACACGATAGTGCTACTGGTAAGCTTTGTGCAACATGCATTGAGTTAACCCACCTAATGGTTAACTATTTTAATAAATATGCGTATTTTCATTTTTAAATATTATACTTGAAATTAGAATGCATATATAATTAAGTAGGAATTCTCACATTTTTAGATATAAAATAAAATAGAATACACATATAAGTATTAAATTAATAGTGTAAGTATGGAAGGCATAACTCAATGAAACATTTGTGCGCTTGATGTTAAGCTACTAGCAAGAATCTAACAGCACGAGTAAGAATTTAAAGTCGTGAGTTTTAAATGTGGGTCCATCCTGATTTTTAAATGTCACAAATCACAAATCACGGGATAGTTCCATAACGGAACCGTAGCATCTTCCATAATTTTTTTCATGCAATTTACATGTAATTATCTACTGGTTTGTATCCATTTTTCTAACTTTAGAATGACCATATCCATGACAGGACACAAATATATAAACCAACTCTACATTATTTATGCTTTTGTTTGAACAAACAAAAGATCTAAAAATGAGAAAAATATCAGATTATGAACCCCACAGCTTCTTTACTGGATATATTTTTTACTACAGGATCAAACTTCACCATTCATAAAAAAACATCACAAAAGTAACCAATTTTCAAAAAACCAGCATTCAACACAAAATATAACCATCACAAAGAAAAAGGCAGAAAGCCAGGTGTCAAGCTCCAATCCCACCACCTCACACATTCCCGACCGCCACTCGTTTGAACAGCTCAGCCGGCAGCCTTGGAGTCGGCACCACCTCCAACGGTGTCCTCATGTAAGTCACTGTCCCCGGCTGCTCCATCATATCCATATCCTCCGGTCGAACCCCCTCAGGCGGGTCCAACGTGAAATGATGCACCATATGGCCCAGCATCGAGCTGACCAAGAAAATCGCCAGCTGTGCACCCGGGCAAATCCTCCTGCCCGACCCAAAGGGTAAGAACCGAAAATCGGTCCCCTTCATATCCACATCCTCAATTTGAAACCTCTCGGGTCGAAACTCGAGCGGGTCTTTCCACACTGCCGGGTCGCGTGCAATGGCCCACGCGTTCACACTCACAGTTGCTCCCTTGGGAATGTCGAAGCCCCCGATTTTGACATTGGTGTTGGCCTTGTGAGGGAGCATGAGAGGAGTCGGAGGGTGTAGCCGGAAGCACTCCTTGGTCACGTGCTGGAGGTAAGGGAGGTTCGGGATGTCGGCTTCAGTCATGACTCGGTCCCGACCCACGACACGGTCAAGCTCGTCCTGCAACTTCTGCTGAACCCTCGGGTTCCGGACCATCTCGGCTAAGGCCCACTCGACCGTGATGGTGGTTGTGTCCATGCCGGCAGATATCATGTCCTGTGAAAAATCGAAACTTTATCTTCTTTTTTTTTTTTCTTCACTTCATTGAAATTTCGAAAAAAGAATCACGTAAAAGCTAAAAAAAATCAGGGGATTGTTTGTGATGTATGTATTTATGAGTGTGTTTATTAAGCAAAATGAGCTAACTTACAACTTTTTTTGTTAGCTTATAAGCTTTCTGAATACAAATAAGCTTCTTGGTTTGGTAGGACGAGTTTTTTTAGAAAGCTTGAGATTATTTCACAAACTTCTTTGGGTACATTTTCAAATAAGCTTGTTAGAATTTTTTATTTCAGATGACTTATCGCCTAATTTTACCAAACACTTTTACCGTATCATCTAGTTTTTCAGCATAAGAAATCAGCTATAAGCTCAAAATTAAATAACTTATATATAAGGAATCAAAGTGGAAAATGTTGGTTGTAGTTATTTACCCAAAGGAGGCCGATAACGGTGTCCTCACTCAAGTCGTAATCCTTCTGAAGAGTCAACAAGGCATCGACAAAATGGTTCTTTGTATTACCCGTCTTCTTCCTGGCAAGGGTGTGTTCCTCCATGATTTTCTTGGTGAAACTGTCTGCACGGAGATCGTGCTCGTTCAATGCCTCGTTCTCGGCCTTGAACAAGAACCTAAGCCAGGGGAGGAACTCGGCGAACGATTTCTTGGTGCCTAATTTAATCCCATTGTTTAGAATTCCCTTTAATTCCTCTCCCTGTTGGTCGATCACTCCATTCGAGTCCATGAACCTTTTCCCAAAGCTCAGCCGCGTGATGTGAAGGAAGGCCATCATACCCAAGTACTCGCGGAGGACCAGAGCCTTGCCCTTGTTTTCTGCAAGTCATTGATGAACAACATTATTAGCAACTGCAATCATGAAATGGGATTATGAAACTGCAGTTGTAAAGCAAATTAGACTGCAAAACAAACTTGTGAATCTTTGCACCTATCGTATTGATCATATAAAACCTCTCAACCTCGCACCGGTAGAGATTTCTCGATTGCGAAATGTATCGAAACCTTGGGTAGTAAAAAAGGGTGGGATTTAAGACCGCACCGGCAAATAATAAAGCAGCACACAAAGTACCAAAAAATCAAGTATATCTCATCAATTTCCAAGACATTCAAGGCTAGCCCAAAGTAGCTTTAATCTCTACAAGTGACAACAAAACACAAAGCAGAAGCAAGAAGAAAACAGAATCTCCACAAGCAAATACAGATTGAAGTCTAGCATGCTGAAAACAAAAATTTATAGTTATCTTCTAATCTATTTCTTCATATAAACACGATTACTAACTCATCTTATCGTAATTCTCAGCTCCCATCACAGTCACATCACAACTCCCAACACACCAAGTCAAAATCTATTGAAATTTTTGAAAAGGCCGGCCATCAGAAAATTAATTTAGAATCAATCCATACCAGGCTTGACGCAGTCCTTGAAAATCGACTCAACCATGGCGGTGACCTCATCTTCTCTAATCGGCCGGAGCGCCTCGATCCTCTTCATGGAGAATAGCTCGAGAGTGCAGAGCTTCCTGACCTTGACGTAGTGCGGGCCGTAGTCGGACCAGATGAGGTCCATCCCGTTCTTGCTGAACTTGTTGATCTGTCGCGTCCGGTTCCGGTAGGCCAGCTGCTGGTCGTTGTCCTTGAGGACCTCCTTGGCCAGCTCGGCGGAGTTGACCACCACGCTGAGGTGGGACCCGAAGTAGACTGAGAAGATTGGGCCGTAGATCTGGGACCACTCGGTGAAGCAGCGGACGAGGACGGGCTTGAGGTCGTAGAGGTTGCCGACGACGGGGAGGGCCCGGGGCCCGGGGGGGAGCTTGAAGCGGAGGCGCTGGAAGAGCTTGTAGGCGGCGAGGAGGGCGAGAAAGGAGATGATTATGAGGGGGAGCGCCATTGTTGGGCTTGAGCTGACCTGTGGCTTGCTGCTGCAGATAAATGGATTTTTGAAGAAGAAAGATATTTTTTGGGTGAGGATTTATATATATTTCTTGTATGTATGTATTGAGGTTGGTGCAAAATGTGGTTAGTTGGGTGTTTTTTGGGAGGGGTTTGTTGGGCAAATAGTTGAATTTGGTGGTAGATGCAAATGAATATAAAATATAACAACTTTTTTTTTTTTTTTT